AGTACTTATTGTGAAATTAATGTGTTATTTCATCCAATATTTTCAGTCATTGTCATGTTTATATGCCTATTTAGGTACATGCTGTTTTTACTATTTGATTTCTTAGTTTAGCCACCAATATCCTAGTTACTCTTTCTCTCTCTCTCTCTCTCTCTCTCTCTCTCTCTCTCTCTCTCCCTGTGTGTGTGTGTGTGTTTAAGACCAATTGAAGTTGGAATAACTCTTACATCATGTGATTGTCGCTATTTTTTTATTTTGTGGACTGATCAAAAAAATTTAGGGCACACTGCTCTGGTCTTCTGTCATGGTGTTTTCTGCTTATAACCTACATAGATGCAAATGTGCATGTATTTGAGTTTTGTGTCCAGAGCTGGACTTCTACTTTTCAAGTTGTACCTGTAATCTAGATTATACCTTATCTTCTATTGTTGATGTTATAACTCACGTCGACATAACTCGAGTTACATGCTTTTTTACCAATTTAGAAGTAGGTATTTATGTGATTAATCTTTGACTGCATTCACTATTACACACGCCAATATTTAAACTAGTGACATCATTTACTTGCAGAAGAAACATGCTTGTTCTGAATAGATGAGATATCTATGTGTGATTTCACTTAGTCCTTTTAGGACCTTAATGGATATCTCTTGATGTTTGTGGTGTTCAGTGTATGCTTACAGATTGTTATATGAATATCTGTTGATGTTTGTGTGGTTTTCAGGCTTCATATTTATTTTCCATGTGCAGATATGTGATTTCATTTCTTAAGGACCATGGGAAAGAGGTATATGTTGATGTTAGAGCTGCTTATATTGATACCATGAATAAGGTGAGATGCTTTACATTTTGCAAGAATTCACAGATGTGGATTAATTCTTGATGTGTTCATGTTGACTGCATCATGCCCAGCATTCATCAGTTTCTTTAAGTTTCCACTACAACAGCTTGTGAGAAAACTGAGGACTTGCTTCTTATCTTTGTTATATGGTTTCTATGAAATTGATAACTATCAGGATTCTCATCCTCAGGTCTGGGTTTCCATCTGTTAATCAAAGTATCTATGAACAACAGTTGATGGGCTTGTACTTTTTGGGGAAAATCAGTTGATGTTGCCTTAGGTGTTTGTGTCTTCATTTCTCTAATCTTGGTTTTAAGCTCTGCTGCAATTTTCAAGTGTCATTGGTTAGAAAGATGGACCTCTAGATAGTCTATTACATCTGTTGAATGGTGGTTGTAGCTGCTTATATGAATTTTTTTTGAAGAATACGGATCCACCCTGAAAAATTATATACTTGGTCATATAAGGCACTCAGATGAATGGTAGCTTTTATTATCTCAACTGGATATATGCACCATACACAATTAAGCTGGTTATCTGATGTTTTCTTTGGCTTATATCGAGCATCATCTTTCTTATGTCACTGAATGAGGCCACGATTGTGTCTTTCTTCCCTTGATGCTATCCTTTCTAAGGTGTCTGTGGCTTGCCTTACACTTTACTAGTCAATCGAGAGACCGCTTTCTGAAGGAACTTAACCTTATTCATCCGGTTGCCATTTTTGTTTTGCAGGTTTTAAGTACAAAAATACGAGCTTATATTCAGGCCCTGGAGAAGTTGCAACTAGATATAGCAACATCTAGTGATTTGATTGGTGTCGACACCAGAAGTACTAGTCTTTTCCTGAGGGGAAGAGAACCACTAAAAAACCGGTCTTCTGTTTTTGCTTTAGGGGAAAGGATAAATATTCTCAAGGTTGAATCTATTGCAGTGAAACATTATCTTGACCACTTATTGTCAGTGCATTGTAACCACACACCACTAAATTTAATACTTTCTGCCCTAGGCTTTTAATTTCTGACTGTAAAGTTGTTTCTTTCTCATATGAATTTGTAATGATTATACTATATGTGAATAGGAAATTGAGGAATCTGCATTGATACCACATATAGCTGAAGCCAACTCTAAAAAGTATCCTTATGAAGTCCTTTTCAGGAGCCTGCACAAGCTGCTAATGGACACTGCTGCTTCTGAGTAATATTGGACTATCTTCTTCTTTTTACCTTTTATTATTTTACCTTTTGTGCTTGCATTATAACAGTGCGTATATTCTGCAATATGTTGTGTTTTACTTTTACCTAATGTATCGTTTGAGTTAATGTATCGTTTCAAGCGTCTCCACCTCGACAAGAGTGCAACCAACATTGAGAGCTATAAAATAGCGAGAAGGGCTGCAAAGCGTGCCGTGAGTGAGCGAAGGGTCAGGCCTATGATGACCTCTATCAGAGCCTAGGCACGAAGGAGGGGGAGAAGGACATTTATAAGATAGCTAAGATTCGGGAGAGGAAGACAAGGGACATCAACCAAATCAAATGCATCAAGGATGAGTCGGATCGGCCACTGGTGAAGGATGGGCAGATCAAGGACAGATGGCGAGAGTACTTCGACAAATTGTTTAATGGGGAGAGTGAGGGTCCTACCCTGGAGTTGGTTGACTCATTTGAGGATACCAATAGATGCTTGGTGAGGAGAATCTGAGAGGCAGAGATCGGAAAGGCTATGAAGAGGATGAAGGGAGGTAAAGCAATGGGCCCTGATGGTATTCCTATTGAGGTGTGGCGATGTTTGGGCGCCAGAGCGTTAGTATGGTTAACTAAGCTTTTTAACCTCATCTTTCGGTCAAACAAGATGCCTGATGAATGGAGGAGAAGTACTTTAGTACCGATCTTCAAGAACAAGGGTGATGTTCAAAGCTGTGGTAACTACCGTGGGATTAAGTTGATGAGCCATACGATGAAGCTCTGGGAGAGGGTTATTGAGCATCGCCTACGACGAGTGACAAGTGTGACCCAAAACCAATTTGGGTTTATGCCTGGAAGGTCGACCATGGAGGCGATTTTCCTAATACGACAGTTGATGGAAAGATATAGGGACCAAAAGAAGGACTTGCACATGGTCTTTATCGACCTTGAGAAGGCTTATGACAGAGTACCGAGGGATGTCATGTGGTGGGCCTTAGAAAAGCACAAAGTCCCATCTAAGTACATTACCCTCATCAAGGATATGTACAAGGATGCGATGACGTGTGTTCAAACTTGTGGGGGCGATACCAGCGACTTCCCAATTAAAATAGGACTACACCAGGGGTCAGCATTGAGCCCTTATTTATTTGCCTTGGTGATGGATGAGGTCACAAGGGACATACAAGGTGATCTCCCTTGGGTATGCTCTTTGCTGATGATGTGGTGATAGTTGACGAGAGTAGGGCCGGGGTAAATAGGAAGTTAGAGCTGTGGAAGGACACGTTAGAGTCGAAAGGCTTCAGACTTAGTAGGACGAAGATCGAGTACATGACGTGCGCTTTCAGCATGGCTACTCATGATGATGGTGATGTTAGCCTTGACGGGCAAGTGATGGTCAAGAAGGAGACTTTTCGGTATTTAGGATCGATGCTACAAAAGGATGGCGGCATTGATGAAGATGTTAGGCATAGGATTGCAGCCGGTTGGTTGAAATGGCGTCAAGCTTCGGGCGTTCTCTGTGATAAGAGGGTGCCACAAAAGCAAAAGCTAAAAGGTAAGTTCTATAGGACGGCGATTCGCCCGACGATGCTATACGGTGCTGAATGTTGCCGACAAAAAGGCAACATGTCCAACAACTAAGTGTAGCAGAGTGTAGCAGAGATGCGGATGTTGCGTTGGTTCTGCGGGCACACAAGAAGAGATAGAATCCGAAATGAGGATATTCGTGATAGGGTCGGGGTGACCCTAATTGAGGAGAAATTGGTTCAACATCGGCTGAGGTGGTTCGGACATGTCCAACGGAGGCCTCCCGATGCACCGATGCGCAGGGGAGTTCTACAGCGGGTCGATGATGTTGTTAAGAGAGGGAGAGGTCGACCTAAACTCACTTGGGTCGGTTCAAAGAGACCTTAAAGATTGGAATATCTCCAAGGATTTAGCGGTGGATAGGAGCGCTTGGAGACTAGCGATCAACGTGCCGGAACCGTGACTTTTGCTCCTTTC